TTAGATCGTATATTATGACTTACATATATAACAATATTACGACATGTGGTCAATTCTTGATTGTTCACTGCAGTCTTTTTGGTAGAGATCAATTGGAGTTTTTGGTCAACTTTGCTGAAACAGGAACTTTTGGTGGATCCTGCAATAATCAGTGCCATAGACGAGGAGACTGAATTTAATGCCTTAGTGGTATGTATGTAAATAACTTCACTTGCTGAACAGAGATTAATAGCTTACATATTCTCCTCATATCAGTTGCAATATTTGCAGGAAGAAGAGGCTGCTATGCTTGAATCATTACTGGGAAAAAGATGATCCAGTTACAGTATTATCAAACTTAGCGACAGCTTAGTCCACTAAAACACTGATGTAAAAGCATAGGAAAACTATGGTATGCTTCCTTAAATGCATATTCCTTCTCAGATAACGGGATTTCATTGATAACTTTGGTACGCCCTCTCCCCCAGCGTGCACATGTCTGTTCAAATTCACTTTAAATCAGCAGTTGTGTCTAACCTTAAAACGACATCCAATTACTGAATTAAGTTCACCTCTCCCTAGCCTCCGGGATGACATCCAATTAACTCTAGGCTCCAGTAGCTTCTAAGTTCAAATTTCTTGATATATGATTTTAAATCAAACACAACACTCAAGAAAAGATTAATCAAACATGAGACTCAAATCAAAATAACAAATCAAAAGGAAAGAGAAACGAGAGGGCTTTTAGGCTATACCTTCTTCAGCTGCCAAATCGACTTCTTCTATTTCAAAAGTTCGGTGAGTTCACAGTTCAGTAATGTTAAAAGGATAAAATTTAACATCGAATAAAGATGAAAATATAGATTAATTTATAAGGTTGGGCTACTCCTCTTAACAATGTTGGCATTTTAAGATAGAGCCACAAATTTTAACATGGTATCAGAATCCATTAAGCTCCAATGAGCAATTAGATCCGATTAAGATTCAAAAAATTGAGTATATGAATTTTAAGATTGGTTTGCTCAAATGAGCTACCATCTTGCGAGAGCGTGTTAAGGGATAAAATCTCACATCGAATAAAGATAAAAACATAGACCAATTTATAAAGATTTGATTTACTCCTTTTATTAAGGTTGACCTTTTAAGATGGAATATCAAATCTTTACGTGGTATCAAAGCACATTAAGCACAAATGAGCAATTTGATCTAATTAAATCTCAAAAAAAACGTGCACACTGATTTCAAGATTGGTGTGCTCAAACGAGCCACCATCTTGTGGTGCGTGTTAGGGGATAAAATCTCACATCGAATAAAGATGAAAACATAAATCATTTATAAAGGTTTATGCTACTTCTCTTAACAAGATTGACATTTTTAAGATGAAACTCCGAGTGTTAACAAGTGGGAAGTGGTTCATGCCTTCTTCTTTCAAAAAGGAATCGTTGTTGCGATGTTGCTGCCCCGTTGATGGTGTCGACGGAAGGAAAGCGACGCCGAGGACGCCTCATCAAGGGTTCAAAGAGACGAGAGTGAGAGGCTAATGAATGGTCGTGCACTACCTTTGTCCATTTGTGAGAGTTGCTTTCAAATGGCCAGATGAATTGTAACATGATGGCTAATGGGTACCGGTCATGAGAGATTGAAATATATAAGATTGGGTTTACCCTTTGGTTGGGTCTCTGGTAGTGGTAGGCTAATACAACGGGAGAATTGCATAAAACCAAGTATTAAGTTTCACCTTTTTAAAAATC